GCAATTTGCTGTTTCCAATCTGTCATCTGACAAAACAGATGACCAGAGCTGTTAGAACTGTGTGTAAATTGAGAGCCAAGCTCTGAGAGATAGCCAGAGATCCTCTCCTTCAGGAGAGCATGTAGTAGTTTTCCTGGTAGCCTTTTCTTTTATTCTCAGAGCTTTTCTTATCTAATTCCCTGTTTGACAGTCTCAAAAAGCTGACCTCCATTTGCAAGAGGTGTTCCTATTGTATGGTACAGAGAACACACTGGAATCAAAGAAATATATATTTTAGTTCAGGTACCCAACACAACACTTAGCCTGGGGACCTTGAGACTCAATCTGTGTTTCATTTTCTCACTAGTAAAAATGGTATAAAGATATAGAGTCAGTGTAGTATAATGAATTAAAAGTTGTAAACTGCTTTAGAATTAGGTATTATGAAAATACTGATCTTTAAAAAGAACTATCATCATTCTTAGAGGTCTATAAACTATGGCTGCTTTCGTAAATAAAGTTTTATTGGAACACAGCCTCACTCACGCTTTATGTATTGTCTATGGCTTCTCTTGTGCTACAGGGCAGAGTTCAGTAGTTGCAATAGAGATCACATGGCCCACAAAGTTGAAATGTTTACTATCCAGCCCTTTACAAAAAAGTGTTTCTGACCTACCTTATCAAGAAGTGTTTTATTTTCAAGGAAGTAAGGTTTTATTTTCCCACAAAAAAATACAGCTGCTTAATATGGCATATTTCACCATATTCTATAAGCTTAACAGAAGGCCTTCAATAATAATGTTATATTAATAACACACAAGAAACTTATTACACAAGTTTTTTGCTATGTAAATCCATTACTGTGAACAGAAAAGTCCTCTGAATCATTTAAATTCAATTTTTAAAAAGAACGATGTGCTCAGATTTGAGAGTTATTTCCGGTGTGTATTTTAGGGGAAAAAATCAGCACTACATTATCCCGATTGTGTCTCACAGCAATGAAGGCAACAAAGCTGCCCACAGATGTCAGTGCCAAACACACTGTGGAAACTCAAAGATTAATCAAAATGACATCTCCAATTTTTTTCACTTCTTAATCAGGCCTAAACATCATGGGACATTCGGCAAACCAATAAGCAAAACTAGATATCCTCATCACTCTGAACCCGCCAGCACTATATTTTTATCCAGAAGCTGAGGACCCTCACTATGACATAAGTATTTCTCTCCTTTGGTTTTTACCTCTTCTATGATATGACATGCCCATCTATGAGCCTGAAGCTCACCCATCACAGAAAACGCCTCTTACTATTTCAAGATAAAATGGGCATGGGGGCACATGGCTCTAGAATATGTTTGCACATTCTACCAAAGAGACTTATGAATAAAAAAGGAATAGGCTGTTATAAAGTGACTGTGAAAAACTGAAGTCTTATATCCCATCTTCCACACCTGGGGGATGGTAGTACAAGGACTGACCTACACTCCGTTCCCCCAACCTTCCTCTGCCTTTTTTTCTAGGCCCCTTTTCCCAAATCTTTTTCCCACTGACACCTCCTATTTTCTCTCTCTGAGTTCTGCATTTGCTCAAGTGCTGAAAGATCTGATAAATGCACTAGTGTCAATTTATTTATATTTAGAGGAGACAGAGTGCTGAAGAAAAGGAGCAAAAAATAGGTCTGTTCATACATGGAAGTAAGTTCGAACCTTTTAGCAAAGTTAAAGGCCCAGACAAAACTGGCTAGAGTAGAAAAGATACAGACTTGTACCTGAGGAGGTGAGATACCCTCTTTGAACTCCAGAAACTCTAGGGGAGACTTGGAGGAGAAGGCTAAGAATATGTCCACAGTTGAGCAGCCATCATTTAAGAGCCATCACAATTGGCCAATGTTAAAATGAACTCATTTGTACTCAATCGACTGAAGCCCAAGAATATTTGGGTTAGTTCATTCATTCGTGCATTCACCTATTCATGTGCCAGTCACATCAGTGAATGAGCACTTTTTATATAGCCTCATAGATCTTTTTTCAAACTAATTGTTTTTGTCTTAGCTGGTATTTTTAACTCTAACTTTATGAAAGTATAACTGGAAAAGCTTCCTGACCCTGAAGTTTCCTACCTCTATAGGAAAAGGATGAAACAGAAATCGAGTACAATAAATATGATGGAAGCACCTCAGCTAGCTGAAATCTAGCTTGTGAAAGAAAAAGTAGATCATTAAATTTTAAGCAAACTTGGAATTGCAGTTTGATGGGAACCCAAAACAAAGCTTATACAAGACTAAAAGGAGTAACATGAACTTACTTAAAAGGAATGAATGGGTGAGGAAAGGAGGCTGCCAGCCACCTCCACAGAGCACTGTGGAGCTCAAATGAGGTCATCAATGGGAGGATGCTTTGAAAAAGTGAAGAGGCACATCACAAATGTGAAGAAATTGATACAAATTGTTAGTAGTATCTTTCACTAATTATAACCTCCATCTTAGGTTGAGTTAAGGTTGTTTACTAACTATTAATGTAGATAACCAAGAGATCAACAGCCTCCAATCTCACTTGGAACAAATATTCCATAAGTTAATTTGGCAAGAAACATGTCCTTATTATTTGATATAGCAATTCTAAAACTTTTGTTTTTAATAGAAAACAATATAAATAACCAATAGGAGATTCCTGAGTTAAAGTATGGTGTGTCCCTAATGGTCACTATGCTGATTATTGTCCATTTAACAACTTATTCCATTCTTTCCTTACCCTTTTTGTGTCCTGCTCTGTGCCCCTGGCTGATGCCTAGAACTGAACATCCTTCTCCTGTGACCTGAAGTCAGCTAATGGAAATGACTGCACAAGGAGGAGAGAAAAGAGAATTTCCAACTCTCTGTCTCTCTGTCCTGCATCTCTGGTGGGAGCTGATTCTCTCCCATGACTTTAAGGAGTAACTGCTCTTCCTCGGCTTCGGCTCTCATTGGGTTCTAGTAACAGTATTTTCTCTGCTTGTCACTTCAGCCCTGGATGTTGTAAGAGCTTCCTGATACTGCCGGTGTCTGGGTGATGGGGGCCTCACTATCCATTCCTTGTCTGTTCCCTAATCTCTATCCACACATTTGTTAATAGTCCCTTCATTAAAGTGTCTTCATGCGACCCACCTGGGTTGAATTCAGTTTCCTGCCAGGATAGTGACTGAAACACAATATAGACCTCTTTTTATTCACATAGAAAGATATCTGACAGAAATAGATCAAAATGTTCACAGCAGTTTTATTTGGGAGGGGAGATTATTTGTTTTTCTTTACATTTCTCTGTATTTTTCAAATGTTCTACAATGTTTGATTATGTATTTTTGGAGTATAAAAAATAATAAAATTAAAATACAATGTGGGAATAAACGTGGTCTCAAGAAGTAACAGCGGTTTGGCTTCCCTTCTTTACTACTCACCTCATCAAAAAATACATTTAAAAAAAAAGCCTCATACCCTAAATGGTATTATAATGGGGCAGTAGAATCATTAACACTTGTGAGTGATATCTCTGTATTCTTGCTGGATTCTATTTTCTAGGAAAAATACATTCGATTAGCAAATATTCACAACTGAAAACAATGCAATTGTACACATTTATAACTGCACATGTTTGATAGACTCACATTTCACAAGCAAAAGTCAAGATTTTGCTGCATTCTTTGATGATGGTAGTGATAAAGATAATAATAATAGTTAACTATTACTAAGGGCTTAGCATCTATTGCTACTGTTTAAGCACTATAGGTATTAGTCCATTTAATCCTAACAGAAAGGCAGCACTATTACTCCCATTACACAGATGAGGAAATTGACATGTGGAAAAGCCAAATATTTGCCCAAGGTCATATGGCTCTTCCTTAGCAGGCCCAGAGGCAAGCCCAGGCTTATTTTATCCATTATATTTAACTGTTATTCAGGTTGATAGATCACTTAAGAATTCTAAAACTCTCCTAATTTTGTATGTATCTTGCAAAGAACCATGAGGACCCTCATATTTGTTTACTACTTGTTGGCTGTGCAATCTTGCACATTACAAATCAGAGCTACAAATTCCTCACCAATAAAATGGAGAATAATACCTTTCCTTCCTATCCTAGAAGCTGTGACAATCTAATAGGAAAACGATCACAAAAGCCTGTCAAAGCTATAAAGCAAGGTAGACATGTAAGGCAGATTATGTTGTATACTTGCTATACACCAGTACATTAGCCACTATCATTAACGCATGAAAGTCAAATGTAAAGAAAATAGCAATTATTTTGGGGAAGTATGGCTATAAACTATAATATTATAAACTATCCAGTCTGTTAATAACAGCCAACATAAAACCACCAATGATTAATCAATAAAAATCATGCAATGGTTTCAGTGAAATGTACTCTCCAGTGCACTCTCCTGACTCATTCATTAATTACCTCACCATATTTGATATGTTCCCAGCATTTGCCTGAAATGTGTTACTCTCAATCTGAAGTTATATATCAAAGGTTTCTTAAAAACTTTAAAGTTCAAACTATACATTCTCTACAATATCAAAAGTTCAATTAAGTCACTCAATTTTCAGATTCCCTGACTTAACTTTTTAAGGTTTTGTAATTAATTATATTCCATTATTACTGATCATCAATTAACTCAAAATGTTGCCGAGATGGTGAGCATGCTGAAGAAGGCAAAATTTAATGATAATTTGAGACTCGTAGGACACTAAATTTCTTTCTTGTTAATAATTAAAGTAGATAACTTATGTTTTTATTTATAGCTTCCAGAAATATCCGGCTCATTTCTGTGCACTGCCCTGTCAGCTAATCATCAGTTGGTCAGTATCTGACTTGGGCTGTTGTGTTTTATTTTCCACACCAACCTTCAAGTGAAGCCATTAAATGCAGCTCAAGCAAAAGTTAACGCAAATTAGGTCATCCACATATTCTCGGGAATTCTCCACCCAGCCAAATGCTCTGATGCATAAATATATAAAGGATGAAAAGAAGTAAAATTTCAATTTACCAGTTTCAATCTCCCAGATGTAAACAGAGTCATCTGCACATCCAACAATTAAAAAATTCTCAGCTGGGTGCCATTTTATCATCCTCACAGGGAACAGGTGTTTCCGGGCACAAAAGAGGTACCTCTTCTCCTCAAGGTGAAGGAGAGCCACAGAATGATCACTGCATACACAGCAGACGACCTGATTACATCTTAGCTATGGAAAACAAAACAAAACAAAACAAAACAAAACAAAACAAAAATATTTGTTAAGTAAACAGTCAAATACTTTCTTCAAAATTAAATTAGATTTTCTCCCTAGTAACATAAAATTTTCGTTAAGCCCCATTTACAAAATGACATTTCTGCACCTCTCCACATAACACTCTACATAGGAGCATTAAACACTGAGTAGATTTTAAAACCAACAACCTATTAGGAAGGTCAAGAGATGTGAGTAAAAAGAATTCCAGGCCAGATCTACTTATAAGATAAATGGAAGTACTTGACCATCACTCAGCAAATTCAGGCAGTGAGGCAGACATCGGAAATAACGCTGAATAAAATAAACCCCAAAACTAATTTGCTGCCACAAAAAGAAGCTATTTGTAGACACAGGCTTAGGCCCAAGGGTATCATGAACTGGTATTTTCCACTTAAAGCCTCAAAATGTAATTTGGTGCTGTTCCCAGAACTATACAGATTCTAATCCAAACAGGAAACTCAGTGTAGACACAATCTAAATGAGGTAAACATTAGATAGTTCCCAATGAATGTATAGTCTCAAAGACATAAGGACCAAAAATAAGCTCATGGGACAAAGATTCTTAAGATACTTTTTAAAAAGTCAGCATGTGGTTACCTTGAACACAGTTTAGGACAAAGACCATCCATGATGGCTGCCGCTGAGGTTAATCTGGAGGGAGCTGATAGGGCAACTCTGTGCCTCACCCTGAGAGCCATGTAATAGTCAGCCCATGAATGGGGATGGAGTGGGATGGGGTGCAGGAAGGAGGGGAGCAGGTAGTGGTTCTTCTACCTTCTCTGTTTCTTTTCTAATTACTTTGCTGTATGGATGTTCCTATTGTCACTAAGGCAACTAGCCAGAGTTTCAGCTGCTGTGTTTAAAGCATCAGTTGGGATGCCTTGAGAACCTCCCAGTGCCCATCACTTTCTGTGGGGATTAGAGAGCAAGTTATTCTTCCTAAATCTTTTTTAAGGAAATCACAGAAATTCTGAGGAAAAAAATCGCAGGTTATCCCAAATCGCCACATGGAAGTTTTTTTTCAAGTCACATAACTTTATTTAACGGTTTTTTAAATTGTTTATATTGCTGAAATATTGCTTTTATTATGTCTTGCTACAAAAATACAGTGTTAGTTTTCTCTGAGTTTACTATGGAGCTGGTTTTTTAAATATTACCATGGAGAAATAATTTTTATAAACCAAATCAACTAACTTAAAAATTCAGGAAACTCAAAAGTTGGTTGTTCATATTTAGACAAATATATATCAGCTCTATGGAATTTATGTTGACATTTACATGAGAAATTATACTTGAAATTATTTCCTTTTGCTCAGCACAAAGTAGATGCTCATAAATTTCGTAAAGCTTATTATTTGTTAAATAAATGAAAGGAGAAAAATCAACATTTAAGAAAAAGGCAATATAACTATCAATATTATTATAAAAGTACATTATTAAAGGCAACGGTTGATTTTTAATTTGTAGATTCCTTTACATTTGAATGGTTTTAAACTGTCTGTTACTTTTATACTTTTATTAAAAATGAAAAGATAATTTTGTTAAAAATTAAGCTATAGAACTGGGGGAAAAAAAAGAATATAACTGCGTAAAGAGAATTAACCGGCTTTCAGAAAGCCAAGAATTGACAAAACCACTTCTTTAGAACCAAATTGTATAAACTGTAATAATAACAAAATGCATGTAAAAAGATTAGAAAGGAATGCATAAAAACCATCTAGCTGTAATGTTAAATAACTTTAAAATTCATATGTGTTTTACTGTTTGTCTTAACTCACTCTGAAGTTCTCTGGTGACATCAAAAGACTTGTTACTGGACCAGCTTCCAAAAAGAATTTATGCAAAATTTCTTCAGTAAAGATATTCCACAAGATGACACATGAGTCCTGGTCTCCAGACACCAGCCAACTTTGGTCTAATTTTGAAGAGAGACCATGTGGGTAAAGTAATGAAATAACGCTTTGGTGATGGCCTTTGAGAACTTTTTGAGGAAGGGAATCTGGAAAACAACGAAGCATCAGATAATACAAAAGTTATTTTTGTTCAAGAAATAGTCCTGGGATTGTCTTTTATGAACTTTTAATGTAAAAAACAACAACAACAACAACATATAATTAAAGGTAAGCAGTTGGCTAAGAAAACTAATAAACAACCCTTGGACCATCACAAAAGGCAAGTGACTACTCATAAGCCAGAGCACACTTTTGATCCAGCACTAACATTGGTTGTTCAAAATCTACTATTTAAGGATGTTAGCAAGTTACCAATAACAGTGCCATGAAATAGCAAATGCTGTTCTAAAAGAGTGAACAATTTTGAACATTTTGCCTCTACAAAAATAATCTTTCAGAACACTACTGCTGACCTTTAAATTAGCACAACTAATTTAGTATAAAAGAAAAGCAAAGTTTCACAGATTTTTGCTTTCAAAGATATTAGAGATTACCTAAACTTTACAGATAAAGTATCTGAGGCTCAGAGAGGTTAAGTGACTTGAATCAAGCATGAAAAAGCACAGCATGTGTAAGAGCACAGCTTTGTTGTTCAACAAATCTTGCTTTGTTTTTCTGGGTCTATCACTCACTACATGTGTCACCATGGGTAACTTGCTTTTTCCTTCTAAGCCACAGGTACTGTATCTGAAAAGTTGGCATAATAATAGCACTTACTTCACACAAGACAGTTGTGTGAAATAAATAAAGTAATGTCCATAATTTCTTAGTATTGGCACTTGGTAGGAAAATGGGTATTTCATACCACAGCTGTACTAGAACACAGGGCTAGTGACACCCAGTTTCCACACTGCTTCTTCCTTCATTAACTCAACCTAAAAAAACTTGGGAAGGACCACGGACCACAAACTCTCTTTATTGAAATTAATAATGAGTCCCAAGGAGTCATTATTACTTCTGTTAAATAATCACTAGTTATTTCTATAAGGCACATCCTCACTTGATATCCCCTAAGCAAACCAAGATGAATATTAATTCAGATCCTTCAAGTCAAATGGAAGTTTCTGATTGTTTTCTGGATAAGAGAATCAGCCTTGGCAAAAAATGCTGAGGTCTTAACACTTTTTCACTTTTAACAGCAGCCATTGAACTGTATAGCAGTACATTACCTCTCCTCGGTTCATTGCTATTTATTCTATTTCAGTCAACCACTGAATGGCCAATTACTAACATTTATTAAGTTGCCAAAGTAAGCACAATACAATAGTAGGCAATGTAACAAGTTTTTTTTTAAATTGAGATTTGGTCTTTACTCTTAAGGACCTTGTAGTCAAGTAGGATGGGTACAATAAAAAATGGGATATGAATTTATTTACATATATCCAAATCTCAATCAACTCCTACATCTCCTTCCTTTACATAAGACAATTTACTGGGTAACAGTCTTTATTTGATAGATATTTGTTGTTGCAATGCACAAAGATGTATAAGAACATATTTATGTTTCATTAACAAAGAAATAAAAAATTCAAATAGAAAGATACACTTTTCTCCAGATTGGCAAAGATTAAAAAGTTTAATGACATCTAAATTTGGCTAAGGTTTAGGGAAAAGGTATTTGGCTTTTAGTAGACACACATGTATTCATGTTCTTTTAGTAAACGCGCATGATTCATATTCTTTAGAGAACATTTTTAGATATATTTTCAAAATTAAAAATATATACAAATGTTGATCCAGTAATTCTGATAATATTATAGATACATACTCATATATGTGCAAAGGTAGTTAATTCTGCATTGTCTCAGTAGCCAAAGACTAGAAAAAGTTAAATAGCCATTAATTAGGTACTTAAAAAAATTAAAATTTGATTATTAACCATATAAAATGAGCTCATAACTAATATGCTCTAAAATACTGTATTAAGATTTGTTTAAGGACATTTTGACAAAGTATGTAGAATATGTTTTTATTTGTATAAACTAATTAAAGGAATGTATACCATTATGTTGGTATATGCTCATATATGCATAGAAAAATTTGAGAAGGGTATAAAGAAACTTATTCGCAGTTGCCTTTAGTGAAGAAATAGGAAGGTTAAGAAGGGAGAGAAACATATTTCTCATTGTATAACCTTCTGTTTGACTTTTTAAAAAGTATATATGTTTTACTTTAACATTAAAACATGTACAAATTTATTAGTAAATGCCAGCAATATTTTTTAAGCTTTGGCAACCTTCTTAGTATAGATTTTTAAAGTTGAAATTTAAATAAATTAAATATATAGTGTTGAATAAAATTTAATGACCTTTTAATAAAGAACCGCCTTCTAGAAGACCTGCTTTGGCAGCATTCAAAGCCTGTGTAATGAAAATTGTCCCATCTTCACAGCCACATACTAGTTTATCCAGACTTGGAACATACTCTGATGAAGTGACTACTGCAGTTCCAGCTCCATCTTTAAACCCACTGAAGTAGTCAATAATATTTTGTGACATGATATGATGCTTATCAAAATTATCTTGAAGGGTCCAGGTAGTAGTTATTGGTATTTCTAAAAAAAAAACGCACAAAAAGGAAAAATTTGATTTATATAGTCATCATAGATATGGAAAATATTATCAAGGCACAATCCCTTGGGGGTACATAGAGGTTCTTTTGCCATCCTAATAATGGGATACAGGCAGAAAGGTTCTCTTGCTATCCACTGCCTTCACTTGAAATGCAACTTTATTGGTTATCTGTCCTTCAAGGACAGATGTGTATTAGTGCATTCATTTTAGACTGAGGTCAACTGAAAAGAAATGGGAAATTCTTGCAGTGATGTAAAATAGTGGACCAATCTCATGAGTTCCCTACTTGCCTTAGCAATGTTAAGAAGGAAAATCGGGGGTCTTCTAGTTGTGTGAGGTAAATGAAAGAAATTTATTCTCTAAATGTCAAGGATGGGAATATCTCAAAATCATACCGTAGCCCAAGCTGCCCTATCTAGGGCTACCAAGAGCACTACTTGCCATTATATATAGCTGACCACCAAAGTATTTGAACTGGGCCTCAAGCAGGCTCAGGAAGTGAGAGAGGCTTGGCATCCAGAAGCAAAGAGAAGTTAAAGTCAACCTACATCTCTATGAAAGGACCTCTATGATCTTGCCACAGTGACTGTGTAAACCTCAACCCGAACCTTAGAGTAGCACGAAGAGTTGCCATAAATCTATGGTTCTAATGATAAAGAAGGTTGACTAGATGTTTAATTCTGCTGCTGGAAGTACAACAGACATGAGAAATCCTAGAGCCGCCATCAAGTAGGCTCAGCAGTGGGCATGGTACATTTTTTAACCCTTAAAATTGACTTGTAAGAAACTTTTCCACGTACCATACCAAGCTCTAAGTCTATTTCTTGACCCATTTCTTATGAATCTAGGTCTCAATAAATCATTTTGAAAACATTTGAGACAGGGACACTAAAAGTTACACTAGTGAAATTGTTAACTAATGAAAACTTGTGCTTAGAAATACAAGTATTAAGAACCTTGTTTCTGCTGTGCCCCAGACAATGATTCACGGAGATGATACACTGACTTTGGAATAAAGGGAAAAGAATAAGACGGGTTCCTCAATTTGGAATACATAGTCTCAGGAGTTTGAAAGTTCTCCACAGTAATGTTTACTCTGATTATTTCAGTTTTTAATTCTAAGAAAAATTAAAATAAGCAAACATTAAATCGTCTAATCATTCAAACTGTTGAACTTACTTCCCAAATTTATATCTGTGCTTGCTGTTCCAAGCAGCTATAATAATAACAACAGAAAAATTGATTGAGAAAAAATTGGTAGAGCATATAGACATGACAAATTCAAAAACATGAGTATGGTGCATCAGCCTACCCTATAATACTGTTCTCAGCATTCATTTTATTTCAATAAAGCATCACTCGTGCTAAATTAATGTTATTTTGTATTATATCAGTTATATTGTTGTATAAGATCTATAAGCCATTTATGTTGGCATCTAATTCATAGTAGTACACAAGAAAACTTCTCTTCTTTGTAGGCCCATTACTCAACTTAGAAAAACAGTGAGTTAATTATAAACTAATTCTCAGAAGACATGTGATTAGAAATGAAATTATCTTACCTCTAGGGGAACCATCAAACTTGGATACTGGAACATCAGGGATGTGCCACAAAGTAATTCTTCCTGAGACTTCTCCAGAGAAAAGTACCTTATAAAAAGGCTCTTTCTTTTCATTGATGTAACCCATAACAAAGGGAAGGCTCTGGTCCAAAACAAAAATGTTAGCTTTCATGTAGGAAAATATCTAAGTATGAAATGACAGCCACTGTTTTTCACTGGAGGAACAAGACTTCATAGATGAACTAAATTGTTTCCATTTATTTCCACTGTTCCAAAAATTTCAAGAATTATAATCTCTTATTCAAGGCAAAGAAAGTTTTTATAAAATAAAACATGATGCCATCAGTTAGACTTCAGAGGATTAATAATAATACCTAACATTTATTGAACATGTTCTATGTATGTTATATATTATTCTATTAGGGGCTTTACGTGTACTCAGTTAAATAATCCTGTGAAGTTGATATTATCATTGTCTTGACTTTAAAGATGAATAAACTGAGAGTGAAGAGCTTGATTAATCTAAGGTAATATAAACGGCAATGGGCTTTTGAATCTGGCAATTCTGACATAAGAGTTCATGTCTTGATGACAATACTCTACTGTCCACAAAGAAGGCCTGATTTCTTTATGGACCCTTCAGTTCTAATTGTCAGTTAAAATAGCAACGACCAATATTTGTATGGTAATTTGTGTTATTAATATGTTTTCCATTTTCTGTTGACTATTTTTCAGATTTAACATATTTAATTCCAAATTTCCCAATTGGTCACAAAGAATAATAAAAATGGGTCTATAATTTATTAAAATAAATGTTTATATTATTATGATATTAATATAAATATGTATCATGTATTTATAATTTATATAAATGTCATATGTTTATAGAGAGTTATAATTTTGTTGAGGCAGAGTGTGACTATTGGGCATCAGTGCTCTGAAAGATGCTTGCGCTAGTGAATGTACCTATTGAATCTCCTTGCCTTGGTGCAGTGTGGTTGTTCTTTGGGCAGACTCATGTATAGAGATTATGCACAAGATTAAGTGATTAGAAAAACAAAAACTACTTTTGATGTATAAATAAAAAGGCACCCTGAAAAGAAAGCCAACTGCAGGTGCTAGAATTAAGAAGTTTAAGAAAGTGACAGTTCCTAGTCAGAAAACACAAGTGTAAAGATCAAGACTTAAATATAATAGAGGAAAAATTCTATCCTGTATCTTTAGTGAATATTAAGGGCCAAAATACTGCTACGTTTAATTCTCACAACAAAGCTACAAAGTAAGTAAATATTTATTATTATTTATTATTTATAAGTTATTTATTATTCCTGTTATGGAAATAAGGAAACTAAGAAAGAGAACTATTCCAAGACCATCCAACCAAGGTAGGTAATACTCTACAGTCCCAAGAAATGAGAACATTGCAGAAGAGAAAACAGTTCCAGTGAAGTCAGTTCTCTGAATAAATTTTGTTTTATTTTTATTTATTTATTTATTTATTTCAAGATTCAGAAGGCAATTTGGCGTCTTAGAGTTTTCATGGCCATCATTTTTGTCTGTGCTGAAATGTACCGATAAAACTCAGTTAAATTGGCTTCTCAAACTCGCTCAACCTTTAGAAATTTTGAAATTGACTAGCCCAACTCCCTCATGATTTTGATATGGAAATGAAGCTCCAAAGAGGCTGGAGGGTTACTGAAGTTGGGGGCAGCACATCTCCTCCCTCCCCACTCCGTGCGCTGTCCCTACAGCCCATGGTCCTCCTGCTGCTGTTTTCTCCTCTGCCTTCAGCTTCCATACTGCCATTCCTCACTTACTCACACCTATTCCTTGACACCTCCATCCTCCTCCTTCTCATTAGTTCCCTCTCTAGTTCTGCAATTCACCTGAAAATCTGCTCACAGCCCTTTACCATGCGAATTCTGATTTCCTATCATAAGACTCAGTATTATCACAAGAAGTAGCTGTCCCCAAAAAGGTAATAAAATATAGTCATTAAGAATGAATTCTCATGGGCTGACTAGATTCGAATCCTAGTTTTAGCACATACTAACTCTAATAAAAGAGCCAATTACTTGATTTAGGCAATTTACTTAACTTCTTTATGTCTCGTGTTCCCTAACTGTGAAAGAAGGCTAATAAAGGCACCTACTATGTGGGATTACTGTCAAGATTAATGAGTTGATAAGGGTAAGATGCTTAGAATAGTGCCAGGGATTTGGTACATGCTCAGTAAATATTAACCACTCTTATTATCCACTTTCAGAACAATTGAGAATCTCTCCAAAGACCTATTACCAGACCCTGGGGCCAAACTGCCTGGGTTCGGATCCTGAGAATGAACTTCTCCGAACATTGGTTTTAAAATGGGATCACGACAGCAATTGATGTAAATGAAGCAGAGTGTATATTTGACAATAATAAAGACAAAAAAAGTAACCCATCATTATCATCATTGTCATTACTCAGTTCACGCGGCAAATTTCTTACCTGTAATCCTCAGGTTGTTTCTATCCCAGCTATTCCCACCTCAACCCTACAGTCTTACTCCTCACCTAAGACCCTGGGAAGCTCAGCTCCTCATCTTAACAACCAGAAGCCCTGTCACAGGCTTTGATGATCATCAGCTATGATTTGAATCTAAGGAGACTCATAAAGTTACTGGAAGGAAGGGAGAGTCCCTATTCTTGCTACTAGAACTCTATCAGCAGATATGCATCACAAATTGTAACTCTCAAACCATAAGGTTTAATTCTGGAAAAAAAAAAAAGAGTCTAGTCAATACTACACATTTATACAGCACCTTTTTCTAAGCTCAGCTCATTATAACTATCAAACTCATCTCTTCGCCCCACCAAAATGCCTTCATTACCTGCTACCTGCAAGAGCACCTAAGAAGTTCTATATTTAGTGAATAGTGGTGATATTTTAAATAAGGAAAATAATGTCTGACTTTAATTTCTTGGCTAGATAAAGGGTAAGCAAAGGTCTAAGAATGGGTAGACCATCTTCTTTCGGTTTCAGGCTATTCTATTCACATTTCACTGGCTTCCAAGCACTTCCCACTTTTAAAATACAGAAACAATTTGGTTCTCGCAATAAGAATTACTGATAGAAGAACCATTAAATCTTTATTTTCATATTTTGAGAAAGGTAGCTATGCATAAGATTAGTATCTTTTTAAATTAATTTGTAATTGCTGTACTTTTTCCTGGTAGTTGTGTATAGTGTTGATATTTGCAATAGGCTAGAAATTCCTATTTAGCTTTTAGGGAAAACTGTGCTTTATAAATGCATTCTGAAGCTAAATAGGAAGAAAGGGCATGTCCTTTAAAAGTAACTAAAAATACCTTTCTGCATAAGCCACAATACTGCTTTTGTGATGAACAGCAACACAAAGCTCTATGGTTGCTTATAAATGACCTCAGAGTCACTCCTGGGTGCCATAATTCTAAAATTTGCCTATGCCCCAGTGGTACCTGGAGTTCGAATATTTGGCTGACAGCTTCTTAATCAAGTTTTTGCAACAAAACCTCACAGACAGTTAAAGGAACAATCACCGAACTACAGGATTTCCAACAGCTATGCTACCTAATTAAGCAAACCATCATTCTGTAAAAAGGAACATGCTTCCTCGGTTGACACATCAATAATTCAAAACTCTTCCATTCTCCATGAAATACCTTTTTGGATAATTAACTGATGACCAAGTCCAATAGGTTAAAAAACAAAAACAAAAACAAAAACACTGTAGTTAACACTACTATAATAAAGTAACTAAATTTTCAGGCTTCATAGAATGTCAAAGACATAATTTAGTCAAGTAAAAGCTCACAATTATATCCTCAATTCTCTGCCAGGCATCATAATTATATTTGTTTTAACAAGAAAATTTATTCAGAAGAAGAGCTAGGAACATGTGAAAATCATCTCAATATATAGTTAAACTAAACTAAAAAAAAAAAAAAACAGGATATAAAGCATTTGATAGTTTAAAAATGGGAGTAGATATATCAAAATGTTAATAATGTATCAAAGCATCTATTAAAGGTTCAGCGAAAAGCGTGAGTGTGTGTGTGTGGAGAGAAGAAATATAGCAAAAATGTTCACAATTGGTGAATCTAGGTAAAAGGTATATGAGTGAGTGATAATTGTAGTAATCTTGCAACTTCTCAAATATTTGAAAATTTTCCAATTAAAATAAGTAAATATACAAAATAAAGCTATTTAGAGTGAATATCTATAGTGGTAAAAATTGGAATTAATTCCTTTGTTTTTAAACATTTATAATTTTTCCATAATAAATATGTACTGTTTAATCAGACTTAAAAAATAGATTTTTTAAAGTTTTCTCTTCAGTAGCCATTAACAGTTAGATTTGATTTTCTCATTAACAACTTGATGTCTTTCTTCCATTTTTTTCAAGCCTGACTGTTACAGACAAAGCAACACTTATCTAAGAACCAGAATGAAACAGCTTTGAGGCAGTCCCTCTTTTCTTGCATTACCTTATTTTCCTGCACAGAAGTAGAGCACAGTAAATGAGGATAAATGGTCTCTTTAAGCACTCTTCCATCAGCAGGGTATATGCTTTTTGAAAGCCCACTGCGTGGCAAAAAATAAAAAGCAAAGTTTACAACTTTGGAGTTCTTTATTCATTTTCTCTCCCTCCTACTTTCAAAAGCCGGATGGTACCATTCAAGTTTCTAAACTCTAGTTAGAAATTGTTGGGTTAATAATTACAAGTGACTTTTTGAAAACCCAGCACCAGCTGTACAAGTTATACATGGTTAATCTCATTCCTTCATCTCCTGCTGTTTTATACAAAGGCTGAAGCCTACCAAGCCCAGAGTAAATCTTCTAGTGCCAAAGTTGTTTTGTTCTGGTTTTTGATCATGGGCAGCATGCAGAGATTTTTCCATAATAAACCTCCCAAAGTCCATTTTCAACCTGAATGTTTTGTATGCTGCTCCCATCTGAGCCCACCTGTTCAGCAGCTGATAGATGTAACTGTGACCATCTTCCGTCCAGATGATGATTCTGTGAGCAGCAAGCACCTCTCCACCAGCAAAAAACTGCCCACTTCTACCAACTTCAGTGCACAAAAGGGAAAAATCACAATAATCATAAACCTAAAACACAAAGTGAATGATGCACATTAACAAAAGCTTTCAAATTAATCTGGCAATGAGATGAAAGATAAATTGTGCTAATCAAGTCTATTTAGATGACAGTGTTAATGCAACAACATATTAAGTATTACTGATAGGTCACACTGTACTCATGTATCAAGATGTCTTACTAGTACTTATTTTTTATATTCATCCTAAGGTATGTTTCAGTGGCTAAACTTTATTTGGCTATCTCATTCCAGAATGTGTCCATAAGGCAGAGAGACCAAAAATCCCAAAATCTCTATATAATTTATTCTTTCCATATGGATAGTTCAACTTTAGCATTTGAAAATGTATTACGTAAAAGAGCTGATGTAGCAGAAATCCATTGTTAGACCATATATTTTGCATTTTCATTTAAAAAATATATCAAGTGATGGTAAATTAGCTCTTTTTTAAAAATTATTGGAGACATCAGTGAATGTATTCACAAGAAAGAAATGTATATTTCCTAAAACAAATGTAGTAACAGAGCAGAAAAAGAAAAAAAAAATCTATTAATAAGATTAATTTATGTAGGTGAAACATTTTAGTTTTCTTTTGTGTTCTAAAGGGGAAGGCCAATTTTTGAAAATAATCTAGAGATAAATACACATTATTAATATGTTTTTTATTAATAAAATGACCATATACTACTACATATATAATATCTTGAGAAGCAAAACAACTGAATATGAGGAGTAGAAAACTAAAAAAAGTCAGTTATAAAAGACAGGTCACCTATGCTCTGGTAATAATATTATAAACAGTTTGTATCACATTTAAATCACATTCTTATAATTGTTGCACTGAACAAGAAAAATATACTTTTGTATATCACCAGTATATATTGTTATTTTATAATACCTTCCAACATTTAGAAAATACCACTAATAGAAGTCTCTCTGTATATGTGCAAAATCGTATTGTCCGGCAGTTCAGCGAGTCAAGAAATTTGGATTCCTTTTCATAGACATCTTGCTTTTCCTTCAAAAGGAATGGAAACATTTTAGTACCAGTTCTAGGCAATTTATATGTGACTGTATCAGAAGATTTGCTCCATTGAACACCTGAAGTTGATCACACCATTATTATAAAATGAAAAGTACTCCAGTTTCCTTTTAAGTTTCTGAACTAAGAAGTTACTTTGCAAAAGAAAGAGTGAACAGACAACCCACATGGATTCAAGGATTCATTATAAACAATTGTTCAACATTCAACAAACATTCTGTGGTGGAGTAGCCTGGAGCAGAAAACATAAAAATAAGAATAAGTGACTGACTTTCAGACATGGGCAGAGAGACCAAAAAAAAAAAAAAAAAAAACCCAATAATTTTTTAAAACCCCTCC